GATACAGATGCACCAGAAGAAGTAGAAACAGGAGCATCAAGAATGTAAAGATTGTTAAAAAGGCTACCCTTCCCAATCATCAAGCCCCAAGAAAGTTCCTGAATCAAGCATCCAGTTGGAAAGAAATGAGCAGCACATTGCAGAGATCGTATTAAACTACTCACACTAATCAACTTAAATTGAAAATCAGGAACAAGTAGCACATCATAAAAAACCAAAGATTCAGTTATCTTAATAGTGCATGTGTGAGTTATGGGAACAAAACTACCATTGGGAAGAGTTACGGTGACTGAGGATACTGGTACATAACTATCAAACATTCCTAAATCTGAACAGACATGACTATAAGCACCACTGTCAATAATCCAAGCATCAGAGGGAAGTAATGTTTGAAGGCTAGAAAGACAGTGATGTTGGTAATGAAGATTATGATTTTCAAAAGTGAGATTAATAGAAGGAAATGGAATAGTACCAGAATTAGAATGTTGATCCATAACACCATGTTTTGTGATTGTGGCATGTGAACGAGGAGCACATAAAGATGAAACTTGTGGTTCTGAAATGCGGACATGAGCATTAAACTGAGAAATTAAGCTTTGTATCTGCTGAGGAGTAAAACTTTGCAGGTTCAAATTCATTCAACCACTAGTCAAACGCGGAGAAACTGATGGTCCAGTAGAAAGTTGACGAGATTGTTGATCAACACTAACCGTAGCAACAACATTATTCACCAGAGAAGCTGAAGTTTGTTGATCTTGAGGTTTAGATTGAGCCTGTGAATTCCGAGAATGAGACTGATTCTTGTTGTATGAAGATTGAGAACCATATGTCTTATAACCAGAAGGATAACCATGTAGCTTGAAACACTTCTGCATTGTATGACCAGCCTTGCCACAATGTGTACACATAGATCGCTGATAGTTTCTCCCTGCATTATAAGCAGCAACATACGCAGAATCTTGATTCACCACAGGAGGAGTAGCAGTTTAAGCCACATTATCAACTGCTGTAACATGCCTTATTGAACTCTGTCTCTCATCTTGAGTCACAATATTAAAAGCCTCTTCAATTGTTGGTATTGGCTTTAACATCAATATGTGACGTCTTGTATGCTCATAAGATTCATTCAATCCCATCAAGAACTTAGTAACCCGACTTCTATGCTGCAAGTTCTCCCACAAAGCAGCTGCATCACAATCACATTTGCCACAAGTACACACTGGGAGCTCTACGAAGTTACGATGTTCCTCCCAAAGTGTAACAAGTTCAGTATAAAGGTAGACACATCCATAGATCTTTGCTCAATTTTACTCAACCTCTGCTCAATATCATAGACCCTAGGAGCATCATCTTGTTTAAACCTAGAGACTAGATTATTCCAGATTCCTTCAGCCGTAGAGATAAACAACAAACTCTGACCTATTTTCTTGGATACTGAATTCATCAACCAAGTTGCTACAACATCGTTGCAACGAGACCATACGCCATAATCACGATGATCAAGAGAAGGTTTAGCAATTGTACCGTCAATGAAACCAAGTTTGTTACGAACATTCAACGCCAAACGAACAGATCGTCGCCAAGAATGAAAATCGGAAGCAGTTGTTAACCGATCGGTGACAAGAACGAGACCAGCATGATCATTATGATGAAGGTAGTAAGGATTTTCATAATGATCAGAAGAGGAACGCTGAGAATCCGAAGATGTGTGAATCGGAGAAGACGAAGTCGCCATTGATGAACCAGAAAGTGTAATCGCAATCAAATCGAAGGAAAACGATGAAATTGATCGATCAGGAAGATGTGAAATCAAGAATCCCAAGCACGAACAAGCAGCTGAGAAGAATCCCGACGCAGATCTCACTAATCGCACGAACACAAAAGAAGAAAAATAGCGAAAGAGAGAGTAACGGAAGACTCATGAGAACGAGAAAAATGGAGCTCAAAGATCAATGCGGAAGTTGATTTGCTCTGATACCATATTAAGATCTGAATCAAGCAAGAGATGATGATGGATCTTGAGCTGAGATGAAGAAGACGATGAAAATGGAAATAGTTTGTTATTCTCGTTTCTCTGTACAATGTAACTTGTTACATATATATAGTACCGGTTAAGCTAAAGGAGACCTAAACCGATAATAATAAATCAATCTGTTATCACTAACCAACTAACCAATAACCGATATAACTAACTAATAAGACCTCAGATGGTTGAGAAGATACACTCTTCTGAGCATCGTCTGAACACGACTAGCAACTCCAAATCTTCGTGTATAGCACCCAACTATCTGAAAAACGTGATGATTCTAACATGGTAAGCTTCGTTCAACACAGTTCATGAAAGAAAAATCAAGGGCAACCGATATGAGACTGACTTAAGATTCCGGGATATATAATTTTCAAAAAATAAATCGGAAAGTTCATAGAACAAGCACAAGATGAGAAAGGAAGAACCGATCAAGTCAGACAGTAAATCCGAATGAATTTATCGAACGAGTCGGAACTATCAAAAAGCTACAAATCTTATTTAGATAAGATCCAAAATTAAATCTCTTTGAATATGCACAGAAAGGAAAACAGTGGGGCTTAAAAGATCTAAATCGGATTACAGAAAAAATCAAATGCAAATTAAAACCATCTCCAAAATCAACTTCAATATTTGAAGTTTTGAACAGTGAAATTAATATTAAAAATTCTAACATACAAATTTTTTATTTGAAATTCTTTATTTTAAAGTCCTTATAATTATCTTTTTCAAATAATATTGTAGACTTTCATTATTATCACTTTAATTTTTATAATGTTTTTATCTTATACAACTTTTGAACCCTTAGTCTTTATAATAATCTTATCAATTTTTATTATTTTAGTATTTGTATTTATTATCTTATACAATCTTACATAGTTTTATATATGTTTTCTAACTTTTATAGTTATCATTTTAGTCATTAATTAAAAGATTTAGTTATTATTCTTATTTTTGTCTGATTTTGTATTAGAATGTAATATTTTATTGATTATACTGATTATAATATTTTTTATTATATATTCTATCATAGTGTAAAAGTATTGTGATTTTTATTAATTTATATCAACGATAAGGATTATATTATAAATATAAAAGTTTTAAAGTTAGCTTTGAAATTCTTTTTTGCAGATACACCTTCAAATTTCAAATTTGAAGTTTTGCCAATTTCAAAAAAAAAAAAAAATTGGTCTCGGAGCTGTTCTAAGTTGGAGAAAGCTCTAGAGAGAAGATGGAGAAACTCTAGAGAGAGATGGGAGATTTGTTTTTGAACAAAATTTATTTTAACAAATAAGGAGAGACTAAAACCTGGTATTTCACATATACAAAATAGTGCTTATTTGTGAATAACCAAAAAAAGATAGATTTGTAGAAATAATCCAAATAGTAAGAACATTGATTAATACAAAGTCTCAGCCAACTAAGAATCGCCTAGTATGTTTTTATATTGTTGGTATCAATATTTTTTAGAATACAAAATTTGAATGGTATGCTGGATGAAACTGATTATACCCATGTTCCTGAATTAGGTTATGTGTGGGAGATTATGAGTTTGTCCCTGAGTTTACTGATAATCACCGTTCTTGAATTATTATGAGTTTTGTCCCTGTATTTAAACTACTAGTCTTGAATCTTCTGCTATATCCAAAAAAATTGGGATAATTTCAAAAATCAAATGGAACGTTTTTCAAAACGCAATGACAAAATTGCTTCTGGACTTGCAACTTGCATTACTTACGAATATTAGATTCTCGTGAGACTAATTTTGGGGTTTTTGAGGCCTATACTCGGACCTGTTAACTTTGTAATTCAGTTCCGATTTATCCAGCCCATAATATATCCAAGGATATATAAATTAATTTTACCTGAAAACTCCCTCGTCGAAAGAAACAAACAAAAGAAAATGGTCAAGCGGTGGGAGAAAAACATTCAAATCACAGCCTTTCATTTAATAAGAATCAACGGTATAAAATCTACCGATCCGCGCACTCTATTCTTATTAGTCACTACATTGTTATATAAAAAGCTTTAAAAGGTTCGTTTTCTCTTAAATTTCGTTCCTTTTTCACAAGAAAAAGCTCTCCTTGATTGTTAGAAAAAATGGCAGGTCGCGGGAAAACTATCGGATCCGGCGCGGCGAAGAAAGCCACGTCTCGGAGCAGCAAGGCTGGGCTCCAATTCCCGGTGGGTCGTATCGCTCGGTTCCTCAAAGCCGGTAAATATGCCGAACGTGTTGGTGCTGGTGCTCCGGTTTATCTCGCCGCCGTCCTCGAGTATCTAGCCGCCGAGGTGAATATTATCTTTCCGTCGTTATTGGTTACGTCTCCGTTTTTGCGTGATTTAGAGTCATTACGAATATGCCATGCAAATTTGGGGGTATTTCAGTAATTTGTCCGTAAACTGATAACTTTTATTTCAATTTGATTTGATAAAGTTTTGATTTTTGGGTAGTTTTGATCTTATTACCAAACAGAGTATTAATGAATTGTAAAAGCATCTAGTTTTGTTGTTGAGAGACTGAAACATGTTTGTGTTTGATCTCTCTCTCTTTTAGGTTCTTGAACTCGCTGGGAACGCAGCGAGAGACAACAAGAAGACACGTATCGTCCCTCGTCACATCCAGCTCGCTGTGAGAAACGATGAGGAACTAAGCAAGCTTCTTGGAGATGTGACTATTGCTAATGGAGGAGTGATGCCTAATATCCACAATCTCCTTCTCCCCAAGAAGTCTGGTCCTTCTAAGACTCAGGAAGATTAGGTCTTTTAACACAAGATATTAGAACAACAGTCTCTCTGACTCTGTTTTCTGTTTTATCAAATAAACGTGTAGAAGCTATAGATCACATGTAGGTGTGCTTTGGTTTTTTTTCTTTTTGCTTGTTGACATCTTGTTTTTTCGTTTGTGTGCATATATATGAAAGTATTTTACCAGAAAGACCATATAATATAAACTACTTTTTTATATATATCAATGAAATCATAGAGCTTTCTTGTTCAACAAGAAGCTCTGCCATTTATCATTATTTAAAAGACTGGTTGCTTTGGTTTCAATTCAAAATGAATAATATGTAGTTTAATTGATAATAATATTACAAAAGCAAACACACAAGCAGTACTATTCTAATGCCAACAAGAATAACTCTGTTTCTAAAACTAAGGCCGAACAATGTCAGTGTCAGTACCAGCTTTTGACCTCAAATGCTCTTTTCTGATCGCTCATCTGATCATCAGTTACTAAAACCTGACATCACTGCAACAGATGAAATCATGAGAGCAAAACGCAGAGGATTTACCTGAACACACAAAACCCAAAGATTGTTTTTTATTTTTTGTTTAGTCTGAATCTGAACTAGACTGATCCATGCGTCTCTCTGTAATAGCTGGAAACAGCTTCTGTTTAGGATCTAACGATGGTGCTTGTCTTGGAGTTTCAGAAGAAGCTGAGGCTGTTGAGCCTTGTTTTCTCGCCATCTTCGCTGGTCTTCCCTTTGCTTCTCTACTAACTTCTTTGCAGATCTTATCCAAGATTATCAAGAAATCGCGTACAATCACAAACAAACGTAACCCTTCATCTTTCCCTGCTTTCCCATGAAAGTAGTCCCCTGTACTCTTCACCAAAGCCATTATTCTCTTCTCTTCCCCTAGAATCGACACAATGCTTCCTTCAGCGTTTTGTATGAAATGTTCAAGGGCTTCACGAAACCCACTTACTTCTCCTGAACTCTTCATCTCTGTGTTGACAAAGTCTCTAGCTTTCGACAACGAGTGTCCCATTTTGAGAACAGTCCCTGTCAAACCATCAGCGTCGATGTTTGCTGATTTCTTCACATGTTCAAGCTCACTGCTCAAGCCTGAGACTTTCTGAAGTCCAAGATTGCGGTAGTTATCTTCCATCTCTTCAGAGGATTCCTCTGCCATTAGATCCTCTGTTTTGACACTAGAGAAGCTCTGGCTCTCTCTGATAGTACGCGCTGCTCTCCTTCCTTCGGTTCTAATTATCTCTTGAATAACGAATTGGAGTAGCGTTGTTTTCCCATCAGTTCCCTTCACATCTGCTAATTTCAAAAGAGTGTCCAGCTTGAAAGCTTGAGCGCCACCCCTAAATGTACCATCGTTCATTCGATTTCCCGTCTTAAGAACAGCCTCTAGGAGCTTCAGGAACAGCCGACTTCCCCTAAGTTCTTGACAAGCAACCTTTCAATATACACCAAAACAAGATGCATTTAGAACAGAGAAGAAGCTTAATATCATCAAGAAGTGCAAAAGAGAGAAAGTTTCTTATAAAGATGAAGGAAACGCACCTCCAATGTCTGGAACGATTCTTTAACAAAGGCAATTTCTTCATAGAGTGTACACATAAAATGAAGTGCCTCTAGACGCTTGAAAGCGAAAGGGATATCAACTACTGCTTTCAGGAATCGTTCTGCTGTTCCCAGCTGAGCTATTTCACCACAGTATAATCTAAGCTTTACCTCTTCTTCCGGTGTTGGTGCCATCTTTATAAGAGTCTGAATGAATTCAGCTGGAAGCTCATTTCCTGATTCAACGAGGATCATGTCAGACAACACACTGAAGAAAAAAAGAAAAGAAAAAGGTTTACCTTCACGAAGTGCATCGCAAACTTCTTCAATAGTGGCATTCAAAGCACGCAAGAGAATCGATAGATTTTGTCCTTTCTTTGGTTCAAGAATCTGAACAAACTGTGGTGCAGCTTGTCCAGAGGCTCCCTTCTTGTCGTTTTTATTCTTGTCTGCAGCTGCATATCCAAATAACGACTCTATCATCTCTTCATTGAACCTGGAAAAGCATAAGAAATAAAGTTTTAGTCAGTAACTGCCACAAAGTAATAAACTTCAAGAAGATTTAAAAAGCTAACAACTCAAAAGCTGTGACTTACTGGAAGGACCCTGATCTTATATCATTCCAAACCATTGAATGTTCTGGATTTGCTTGCACTTTATCCCAGAAAAATGGCTTCAGCTTTGTTTTGGGAGCATCATCACCACCTGATGAATTTGCTGGTCCAGAAGACGGTCGAGGAGCTTTTGGACCAAGACTCATCGGTGGAGGTGGACGTGGTCCTTTTGGTCCAGGAGGAGGAGGTGGCTTAGGCCCACCAGAACCACCAGGTGGAGGAGGAGGTGGCCTAGGCCCACCAGAACCACCAGGTGCAGGAGCTGGAGGAGGTGGTCGTGGAGGACCAGCAGAAGACGGCATGGGCGGTGCTGGAGCTGGCGGTTGAGGATGAGAACCCTTATTTGAGGATACCTTAAGAAATTTGGGTGGTTCAGGTGGAAGAGGCTCAACTTTTCCAGAAGGAGGCTTCCCTAAATGTGGAGATGTTCTTCCAGGTGGAGGCTTCAGAGGAGGAAGCCCGTGACTGCCGTTAATATTATTATTACGCATCCCTTCGTGTGATAGCCTTTCGTCTAACGAATCCGAAGTGTCAGAGTTACTTCCATCGAAAGAAGACATCTTTCCTTGGTTTGAGTAAATGTTAAATGGTTGATTACCTCCTTTGACAGAACCACCATAGTTGATGGAGGAACCTGAAAACATAAAAAAAAAAGCATTTTTGATGCTCATATAGTTAAAGAGTTTTTCTGTTAGATTAGAAAGTGGATATATATAATTTACCAACAGAGTGATCGCTACTGCTTAAACTGAGAAGAGGCCGTTCATCATTTTTCCGGCGTCCTGAACCCTTTCCACAAACCTTGGTGCAACATAAGAAGAGCAAAGCAGCAAGCAAAAACGTAGAAACCGCAGTCGCAACGACCGCAATGATGATTGTTTTCGCATGTTCCTCTTTTCTTTTGGCAGCTGAAGCGGTTCCAGAAGTCTTCTTAGCAAGAGGAGGAGTTGGAGATCTTGATGGTGGAAAAAATGAATTACGCGGAGATGGGGATCTTGATCGAGTAGGTGGGCCACGACTACGCTTAGGAGGAAGGGAAGGGGAAGGGGAAGGAGAAAGGGAGACAGGTCTAGAAGCTAGATTTCTCCTTGGAGTATCAAGCAAAGATGGTAAGAGCTTGAGATACTTGAGTTTATGGACATTCAACCTTCCTTGTTCTTGGATACAACCAAGGAGAGTCTTTTTAAGATGGGAATGCTTGAAACCAAATAGCTCCCAGTTATCCTTTGATTCTGGTAAACATAAATTGAAAACTATAACAGCTTCTTTCACACAATCTGAATCTTGCCAACAACGCTGCGCCCATGATGTTTCTACCTGTCAAACATTGCACCACAGACAAGAGACAAACAACTTTAAAAGCTACCACAATGAAATGAGAAGCATAGCATTAAGTAGTAATAATCTAAGCATCGATGCCAATGGCAAAATCAAAACTATTTTGCAAGACGCACAGAATCTAAGCGTTCGAAGATGATATTGATCTTCTTACAGAGTTACAGAGAACATGAATCAAAACCAAAAAAAAATGCACTCTCGGTATCTAAACCTAAACCTTAAGCAAGAAACAGGCTATGGCTCGCAACTCTCTCTGGATAAAGTCCACTACTGAGCTACAAGATCTTTTAGATTATACATACTAGCTACCATTGAAAATTAATAGCATATGGAGATTCAGAAACTAAGCATTGAAACTATTTTACAAGAAAGAGTCTGGACCTGTGTTTGGAAAGGGTGGACCTGTACATGTGCCAGAATGCGATGGGGGAAAAACAAAGAATGTTGCACTTGCTACAGAGAATTTCTCCATCACATTAGGCATGTAAAGCTCCAGTCTTTCCAACACAGATCCAGGCCCAACGCATTTCTTCAACAACAGACGTGACTCTTGTCCCATTCTATTTTCACCCGATTATTTCAAAAACAAAAAGTCCCATACTCATACTGCTCTTGCAAAAGTTTATTATATAGGAAAACTCATGATCCTGACTAACAAATTTGGAAAACTGCCATCAATCCCTTTATCCTCTCACGATCACAAATCATTTAATTTCCATAACTTTAGATTGTGATTGATTGCTATAAGAATGAGAAACTTCACGCTAAAAACATGGTGCTCTAGTTCAATTTCATACAGAGAAACCATAAAAAAATGTCTTAAACGAAAAAACTATGGCAGCAACAACACGCTCACTTTATATGATTAAGCGAGTGTTAAAGAGGACACGATACAAACGTTTGGTAATGATCTTAATTCTCTTCTCAGACCATCTAGATTCCTCCAAGGATCATGTACCAAACCAAAAAAAGCAAACTTAGCCTGCTCTTGAACTCTCGCCTTAGAGGTATAATACTACAGAGCTACAGAATTCTAGCTTATACAATTTTAAACCCTAACAGATAAATCCCATCAAACAAGACATTTATGATGTTAGAAAGAATCAAACAAGCTTGCAAAAAAAAAGTAAAAGGGCAATGCTTACTATTTGTTCATTGACTTTCCTTGTTGATGGAGCCATGAATAAGCTAAGAAAAGCCTCATCTTTTGCTAAATTATCTTCCAAGGTTATCACCAAGAAGCCAGAGATCAAAATCAACCATAAAACTAAACGAGACCAATTCTGATCACCCATTCCTCCTCCTCAAGCATATCTACTGCTTCTCATTTCTCCAAAAAGCCAAGACTCAGATCAAATCGTCCAAATGCAATAGTATTAAGCTTTTAAATGCAGACCCTTTTGCTGAAACTCGATCAAGATCGAACCTTTGACAGAAAAACCAACAACCCTGATCGAAAGTCTAGAACTTTGAAGCTGACTTTGATCTGCAATCTCCCAGAAATGGACCAATTCAATAAAAAAGCTTCGACTATGACTTCAGATGAACTTCCACACGTTTTGAGAAAAGAAGAGACAGCACAAAAGGAGAGAAGAGTTGGTGGTGATAATGATTGTAGCCAGATCCAATTTGACCAAAGTTATGCTTTAAAACGATCGACGTCGGTGCGCTCAAACTAATTGACCAGAGTGACCACACAAAAGAGTTTCAAACGTTTTTTTATTTTATTTTTCTTCCCGACAAAAATAATTGACGGAGAAATTGGCTCTCAAGCTTCATTCAGAATTCTCTATGCACATTTTTTATTTTTCTCTCTCAGAAAAGTTGTCCCTTTTTTTTCTAAACTCCAACGCGCGAGAAATTCACTCAGATTTTTATATGTTTTTCTTGATTTCATTTAATATCTCAATGTGAAGAAAAATGGGTAACAAAAAAAAGAGATTTGGCATTCAAGGATCATCAAAAGAGCCAGCCCAATTTGTGGTAGATCAGCCGAGCTTTGATGCTTTGAAAATGTGTGAGGAGTTTACACTAAAGACACATGGCAAGGGATCTTTATGTGTAAAGTAAGGAGATACATAAACACTCAACCACATCCTTTTAGATGCCCACTTATTTTGGGTAATAGCAAAATCTATTGGAACTAGATTGAGATTAACGAACCATGAATTTTAATTTCTAAGGTTGCACAAAAAAAAAAATTTAATTTCTAAGATGTGTGTTTTTTTATGCACCAAATTTCTACAATCTGTGAAAATTATAAATTTGACATATATTATATATGATATATTTGAATTAATCTACTAACTAGTTTTGACTTAGAATTTAGAAAACTCACCATTGAAACTCTCTATGGAGATTTCATATTCTTACACAAATTTTGGAGACCTTGGACATGCTACTAGCCAAATATCATCCCTAGATAATTGGGCAAGACAAAGCTAATCCCTTGGATTCTATGGATTTTGTGGGAGATTGGAACAAGTATCTGCTTAAAGGATTGGATATTGATATGCTAAGATACGGCCATGAAGATTAGAAGATGAAACATAGAAATGGTTGACTAGAAATATGAGTCAATTCCAAATGGAAAAGACCAGTCTGATATGCCCTACACATATAAATTGGAAACCACAACCACACCAATGGGTTAAGTGAATTGTGGATGGAGCATGGCCTAAGGGAGGAGAAATATATTGTGTAGGTAGGGTTTTGAGGGATGAGGAACATGATCTAAAATGGATAGGTGCAAAGGCAATATCAAGATAGAAATAAGCCATAAGAAAAGGTCTGGCCTATCAAGGTTGTTTCAGCAAGATATATTCCCAATCAACCGCATACTAGATCGTGTATCATCCAATGGGAGGAAACAAAGCAGCTAAATTACAAAAATCACAGCAAACGTAATACTTCTGTTGACAAAAATGCTAATAGTGTACTTTGCTTGCGTTGGATCCATATTTGTTTTTTTTTTGTCGAAATGGTCAAATATTTGTTTTCTTCCGTTTACCTCAGATCCCCCTTCCCATAATTTTAGCGACTCAAATCAATGGAGGTTAGTCACTGTTTCCATCATTATATCATTATATAACTAAAACTTATAATGCTTGTAATATAAATTTGTAAGAACATCATAAAACCGATTTACATTTTCCTTACAAAAATAAAGATACACAGCATAATACATCTTAGAGTATTTGCACTCCATACACACACTAAACCTCATAATTCACTTCATACCCTATTTCTTCCTTTATCTCTCCTCCCCACACATTACTATTTTCCCCACCAAAAATGGCAAATCCCTAATTTCCCATTTTCTTATGGATTTCTACCCAATTCACTCTACATCTTAAAGCAACAAAAGAATGCAAAATCATTTATTAAACAATAAATACTAGGTGGACGGCCCGCACACCTGTGCGGACATTAATATAATCTATACATTGCATGAATAGAAAATAACATAAATGTATAAATATATTATAACTTTCTTTCTCTTTTACATAGATAATCTGTTAAATTAATATATTTTTCTATCTTACTCATTTCGTTCTCCTTGTATTTTTTCACACATTTGTTTTGTTTCTTATGTATCTCTCTTTGCATTATTTTTGTATGTCTTTGTACACCTCTCTCGCTCTCTTTTTCTTTCTCTCTCTCTCTTAGTTGATCAAATAATCTCAAAATCTCTCAAACTTACATTTACTCTCTCACAATCACCTATATTCATTCCCTTACTCTCGTCCTTAATGTGATCCTCAATATTTCACTTTAAAACTCTTTCTATCTCTCTTTGGTTGTAAACTTTTCACCAGATTTTGTTCTTCAAAACACTTTCACATAGTATTAATAAATGATTTCAGAATTTATCTCACTTATATTCAGTCTCTCACTTATATTCACTTTATTATGATCATAACCGACTATCTAATCCTTATCATCACCATATCTCCCTCTCTTTCTCCATTTCTTAAATATTTTTTATTTAGAATTTAATATAAATCACAATTGGCTACCAAAAAAATTGATTATCAGATTCTCTCCAATCTTCACACTATCTTATCAAACATTGATTCATTTGACCAAGATTTTCATTGAAAAAATAAATATCTTATTATTAATTTTGTTTTTTAATTACTTCATTACATACATATTTTAAGTAAATCTAAATAACTGTAATTCAAAAAAGTAAATTTTATTAAATAATTATAGAACACAAAATATCTTAATTCTTAAATGATGTGATGTCATTATTTTAGACATTGATTAATATAAATATGAGATTCAACAGTTTTAATATATCAAAATAACATGTTTCTAGTTGTATAAATTTTGTTATAACTTTGTTATCATATATTTTAAAAGTTTATTACACCGCAAAAAATACTTATCATTATTTTAAAATAATTTATTTTAAATTTCTATTTGCATTATATTTTGCATCTTCAACATTAACAATTTTATAACTTATCATTTATATTTATTTTATTAAATAATTATATAACACAAAATATCTTAATTCTTAAATGATATGACGTCATTATTTTAGACATAGATTAATATAAACATGAGATTCAACAGTTTTAATATATCAAAATAACATGTTTCTAGTTGTATAAATTTTGTTATAACTTTGTTATCATATATTTTAAAAGTTTATTACACCGCAAAAAATACTTATCATTATTTTAAAATAATTTATTTTAAATTTCTATTTGCATTATATTTTGCATCTTCAACATTAACAATGTTATAACTTATCATTTATATTTATCTTCCTTTCTCAATTTTTCTTTATGTTGTATAAACACCTAAAAATAATTAGTTTACAATTATATTAATACGTAAAAAATATTTTGGTATACAAATAAAAAATTATGTATGTACAAATACAAAATAACGAAAAATACAACAAAAGGATTTATTATTATTCACTCATGTTTTTATTTATGTCTCTTTTCTTTTTTTTCTTATTAAAAATAAACATGCCAATTTTATTATACTTAAAGCTATATGAATTATATGAATAGAATATTAACTCTAGTCTTGTATTAATATAATGTTTTGATTTTTTGTAATTTTATATTATAATAAAAATTTTCATTTATTCATATTTTTTTTAAAATGACATACCATATAATTTTCTGTTTTAAATATAAAAATATTTAAATCATTTTTGAAAGTGATAACTCCATTATACTATCAACATTTATCTCTGGAAATGATAGAATATTTATAAAATTTTACATATGACTGTTTGCATTCATTGAACATATTTTAAGAATACATATATATAGTGAGTGAGTATAAAAATATTAATAGTTTTCCGTAATGTATGATTTTTATCTACTATTAATAGAAAAAATTTAAAATCGTTTATGTACTTATTTCTATAATATAATATGTATTTATGTGTATATTCTAAATTTTTATAATAGAATATGTGATATTTAATTGTTTCTAAACAAATTCTATTAATCCTATGTATTTAAGATGATTAATTGTTTGTTTGGTAATATATATTAGATTAGGTGATTCTAGGATTAGTTTACTTTTAAAAAACTTTAATTAAATAAATAAAAATTTAAATTCCAACAACCAATCAAATTAAGAGAATTAATTATACATTGCACATATGAATGACACGTAAGCAAAATTCATTAAAGTGACTTCTCTTTTAATATATAGGGGATTATCTTTTATCTTAATGTTTTTCAACAATGGATTTGTTCATCAAAATAAAAAAATTACAGAATTATGAAGGATATCTTCCAAATAAGGAGAAATCCAACAAAGAATCAACTCTTTCAAAGAGAATTGAAAAACACAAAATTAAAGGTAGAAAATATTATCAATAAATAGTTAAATACATACAATAGCGTTAAAATAAGGCACAAGAAACAAAGACTGCTCCCTACTAATAGCCAAAGAGCAAAGAAGCAAATCACTGTCAGACCTTAATTCAGGACTGCTTTTCTGAGCCCAAAAACCAGCAGATTCCTGCGAAGATCTGCGGTTACGATCATAATCGAAGTATTTTTCTGATCCCAAAAACCAACAGAGTCCTGAGAAGATTTGTGTTTACGATCATAACCGAAGTTAAAATCATCTTTGTATTAAGAAACAATACTCATAACTATTCGCTTATGTTCCGGTAAGAGTATGAAGCCAATGAAGTCCACCTTGTGACTTCCGTTCGATTTAAGTAAACATGAACCAAAGCTCCAAACCGTTGGACTAATTAGCCAAAGAAACTCAACTGAAAACTTGCTGTTAGCGACGTTTCTGTTGCCGCCAAGATCAAGATAAAGGAAATTTCAACACTAGCAATCCAAATCAAACAAAGAATCAAATGAAGAGTCAAAGTTACTATAGTTCATATAACCAACTCGTACGAGAATGTGTAAAAAAATATTTTGGTGGGGGGGGGGGGAATTCTAATCATCTAATTATAGACATTTTAAGTGATATTAACTTAGATTTAATAAAATTGAATTGTTTTCAACATGCATAATTAAGTCAATGTAGATTGAGTGATGATATTCTTTGGTTGAAGGTTTGGTAACATATGTTATATGTATTGTTGTGTTTTTAGGGATTGATTTGTGTTTTTTTTTAAAACTAAATTTCATTTATATATGTTTAGTTTTGTTTTTATTAATACTTTATAAGGTGGTTTTATGTTTAATGAAGTTTTTTTGAGATTTAGTTAGTTATTTGATTGTAGGGTTTGGATAATTTATAAAAAAGTTTTCTAACAAATTATGAAATAGAAAACTTCAATATAAGTCTTCTGGACGAATAATATTAGAAGACTTACATGAAAATCTTTTATATCAAAAATATTTAACCTAATTGGAATTTTTGTCTTTCTATATAAAGAAAATTTTACACAATTTCTTTCTTCCTCTTAGATGGAGAAAACAAAAAATGTAATATTTCTCACTCTAAAACTCTCAAACCTCTCTCTAAACTATTTGAATCTGATAACACCAAACCTTATATACCAATTTTTCATTTTACGTGTTTCTCACTGTTTTATCTTGTTTTTGCAGGTTTTTCATTACATAGTTGTCTTCTTTCACTCATTTTAAAGCTATATCTATAAATTTTAGATATGTATTTTGTGTGTTTTATGTATTAGATTCTAATAAGTTGTAGTTTCAACATATTGTGATTGTTTTAGTTATTATTTAAGCTTTAAAACATTGTCTTTTTATTTTTTTCTATATTTTGATGTCATTTGAAACGTTTTTTGATATGCATTTTTTTCAGATATGAGTCAGACTTCAAAAGACTTATGGAAAGTTTTCCTGGAAGTCTTCTAACATATAATGCGCTAGAAAACTTTCATAAGACTTCTTGGAAAGCCTTCTGACAAGTCGTCTCCCATATCAAGTAGATTCCAAGCTTGTCTTTATGGAGGAATTATCTATAATAGTTTTGTTTGTGGTCTGATTTGTGATTTGTATGTGTACTCTTTAGTTATGATTCGTTTAGTAAATTTTAAGAAATATTAATAAAAAATATGGTAAATATGTTTACTGTCCACAATATTATCTTGCCAAAATTACTTGATATTATTGAAGTTATTGATACAACTTGGAAAACACAATAACACACAAAAAAATAATTAAATTTATTACAATTAAGGAAGCAGAATTCTCAAAAAAACTTAGTCGAATTCACAAAATATCAAACATGACATAAGTTCAAAGATAGAACACTTTCACTAGAAGTCTTCGGGAAAAGAAAAATATTTGATTCAATGTATACACATTAATTATAATTTTATAAATTTTAACATTTATATTAATTTTATTATATTATTTAGTGTATATAATATTTTTTGAATTGAATTTAAATGTGATTTTAGATATAATATTACTAAATCTCATCAAAATATATTAGGTGCTAAGAAAATATAAAAATTATTTCATTATGAATATAAAATAAACAATATAATGATAGATTCTTACATATATATATACATATAATTATTAATTAATAATTTTAATGAGGTCATATATTTACATAGAATTATCTAAAAATTATTATCTTATTATTTTAACGATTTGTGTCAAATTTTAAACAGGTCCAAATTGAAATCAACGTAATTTATTAGCTTATATAGATTATTAATTTATCGAGTATTATTTTATAGAGGTTCTACTATATATATAACATCTTTCGGTATAAGATGAAGAATCAAAATGGTATGGCGCAAAGCAAATAAGAACACATTTCTTTGTGACCCTTCGAGCAATTTCTACGTCAAGAGAACATATTCGTTTTACTTTAACCACGATAAAGTATTGTCACAACGAAAGGAGAATATTTCCCTACTTTTTCCCTTATCATCATCGTGCATCAAATAATTTTGAGCCCTCAGTTTTTCCATTATTATCCTATAATTTTGTTCTTTAATCTGACTTTGCACCTATCATGTCAATCTAAGTAAAAGTGATATTTAAATATGCTACAAATATACCACATAAACAAGATGCATCTTACCCAGGATGAATGGGCTCAACTGGAAATGATCCGAGACACTTGTACCAAAGGTCCCCAGTACGTTGATAACCTGAAGAAATAACTAAACAATCAATCTTTTTCCCCAGCTCTAAGAGGATTAGTCGAGCCCTAAAGTCCGGATTACCTCAGTTACAAAAAAAATAGTCTGGAATACCTCCTGGTCATCAAAAAGAAACAAGATGCTTCTTTTGATCTTTTTTTGATTGTTATATCATGCATCTCTTTACTATTATTAACTAACTAATCTCTAGGTCAGTATTGCTAACTAAACACTGTATATAACGAGTAAAACATATTTGAGCAAAAAAAAAAACGATAAAAAAATGCTTCAAATACTGTATAAAGCGACTTCTATTTGGTAACAACTGGACATGTCCAAGTGTATTCCTGCTAATTTTAATTAAAAAAATTTGTTTGTTAGTATCCGTCAAAAAAAAAAATTTGTTTGTTAGTAGTCAAAAAAAAAAACATTTGTTTTGTTATGAAATAGTAATACCTTATTTTCTCATATGCGTAAAATTTACTATCCGTCCCATACTGCTTTTCTGCATCACTTTCATATTAATTAGCTGTATCAACACTCATCATACTATAAGAACAAAACCTCGATTCCCAAAACTCTCTCTCTCAGACACACACACACTTTCCTTTTTTTATTCGTCTCATTTTCTTTTTCTCTCATGACGAGTAGTAGTGGAAGCCTCAAACTAGTGATCCACACCGACGACAAGACGCCAGGAAAGTGGAGCGTACCGCTCAGCGAGGAAGTTTTCCGGAGGTTCTTAAGCGGTGGAGGCAGCTCGGAGAAAGCTGTGTTCAGCGAGGGATCTATCTTCAGCCCGTTTTTGTTCGGGAAGTACTTTGATCCGTCAGATGCGTTTCCATTGTGGGAATTCGAGGCAGATGTTTTGCTAGCAAGCCTCAGGAGCGGAGGACAGTGCAGAGTAGATTGGTCGCAGACCGATCAAGCTTATGTCCTTAAATCTGACCTCCCCGGTATATACTTCCTAACGTTTCTCTTTTTTTATTTTTATTCTTCTTAGCTTTATAAAGAGAAAAATGACATATTTAAATGTTTTATAGATGTAATCCTTTTCTTTAGGGTTGAGAAAATATGATTGATCTTGGAAATGATTCAAACGATATCAAATAATAATATTATGTAATCCTTTCATCGAGGGTTCACGAAAAAACTGATTATTTTCTTGGTACTAGTGGTGGGGAAAAATAACGCGCAGGTGTACGTTGACGTTAATGGAAAAGTGATGGAGATTAGTGGCCAATGGAACATTAACAAAAAAACGGCGGCTAATGGCGACTGGAGAACCGGCCGGTGGTGGGAATACGGCTACGTTCGCCGTCTCGAGCTTCCAGACGATGCTGACCCCCAGAGCTCCGAAGCTTTCCTTTCCAACAAAGATGACTACTCTTTCTTAGAGATCATAATCCCCAAGATTAACTCTAAGAACAAATTCTAATTAATGATACTCTTTCTTAATTATAGAGTGGTATGTACTACTTTCTGTTGTGGACGATGAATGATATAATACATGCATATATGATATAGTTGATCGGAAAATCGTATAAGTACAGAGACATTTACGATTATAGACAAAGAGTAGAGTTAAAGAACACATGTAATACAAGGTGAATACCCATCAATAGGTACGCTTGAGTTAGTTTTTATAGAATTTTTTATCCTCACAGACACGTTTTCACTTTGTAATTTCATCACAAGCCACATTTCACAACACAATCTTTAAACAAAGTAGACAGAGCAATTGGTACCTTGATAGTGTCGATGAATTCATTTCATTACATCTTCTAATTCCAAAGCCCACCGAAACCGTCTGAGATTCTCCTGTTTATCTCGCCGCATATCTCCATCTGTTTCCTTGCAACCCTAGAGTCCAGAGTCTTCTTAGTCGATGTAAGATTTTTTTTTGTTTCATCATATAACTGTTTTTTTTTCCTGCGTAAAGTAGTTAGTCATCTAATTGGGCATTTCTTAGTCAATTTTTAAGGTTGGACATGTCTATGAATAACAATTAAAAAGTCCATTAACAAATAGTAATATAGTGCTTTAACTATATATATATTATCTAATTACATAATAAAATATTAACATACTTTGAAAATTGGAATTTCAATTTACTGATATATACACATAAATTATCTCAAACTATATTTGATCTATAAGTATATTATGTGCTGTAGTAATGAATATTCTTATGCATTTCTAAATACAAAAACTTCATATTTTACTCAATGCAATTTAATGAGTATAAAGACAAATCAACTATTTATTTTATTTGCTATAAAATAAATAAACTCCTACAGACAAACAATATTATTAAAAAAAACTATTATAACCATTTAGATAAAAATAACTAATAAAAGGCATCATTTACCCTTTTGTTAATCACCATATAAATATCATAAGTAATGTAAACCGAAGAAGAACACCCGCGCGGGCGCGCGGATCAAAGTCTATTTTCACTTATGACAATCTTCATGATGAGTGAAAGACATTTATACCCTTAATCAAAGGAAATAAGAAATAAGCAAACAGGGTTTTAGGTTTCGACTATGGTCTTTTAAATTAGTGTACAAAATCTCTTTTTTAACAATCTCCAAACTGTAGTTTTTCTTTCTTGCGGTGTTTCCTACAAAACACAAAATCTCTTAAAAATCACCTCTCTTGCGGCGATTCTCATACTCTAAGAGTCCAAGATTCTCACAAATTGACCTTCAGATTATTTCCTTGTAATCGTTCATCTCTCCTTGTAATCGTTCATCCGAAACACTCTCCTTTTGTTATGTTCATCCAAGTTCAAGACATGCGAAGTTAGTTCCTTCAAAATCCACACCTTCTTTCTCGAGATCTAGTGGTATAAGATTTTTATCCATGTTTTGATTTGATAAGTTTTGTCTTTTTTATTTTTTTGGTTTTTTGTAGTGGGATGGTCTTTGTGAGAGGAGATGAGAATTCGGAAACATGATCAGAGAGAGGTTTAGGAGATGCAGATATGTACCGGTGACGAGGCTTGTATCTTCTTAGGTTCATTATAAGCTAATGGAAGCCATGGAGAATAGGCCTGAGACCAAACCTGATGGTGGAGATGAGGAAAGTGACGATCTTTACGGAGGAGGTTATGTTACGAAGACAATTCGGAGGTTCTTATGAGGTTTGAATATGTTTATCCAAGTTTAGATTCTATAAGCTTTGTTTTAGTTCTGTTAGTTTCTTAGTGTGTGGATTTCAAAATTCAAATATGTCAAAGTTTCAATTTTAATTTTGATGGGTGAAAAGAGGGCTGTCAGATGAGCATTAATGTTGTACTTGACTGAACGAGGGCGAAGAGAAGGTGGAGAAGCAGGACTAGACAGCACTGGTGATAAGAGTGTGGTGTGGACATGGGAGGGGTGGAGGGGTGGTGTGGATCGCTGGTGCGTGGATGGATTATGTGTGGACGAATGATGTGAGAATGGGTGATGTGTGGAGGGGGTCGTCGCATTATCGCTGGACATGATCTCCTAGGGCTAGTGAGCCATCCACAACCAATGGATCGATTCATAACATTTCAGTTGTTGTTACAATAATGGAAGGTATGTCATGGCTATATTGGAAGCTTCTTTGATCTATAAATCAGCTTACGAAAATCTGTTTTGTTGTCCTCTATGTAACATATATATGTTCTCCCTTTTCAGTTTTAGATCATTGATATTTTGTAGTTGCATAGCAACATAACATGGATATGCCATCTATTATGAAATTTGTGTCCTTGTTTATTGAATTCTATGGATATAGCTTTGACCATGTCCACATTTCTTATACTATCCAGAAATTCTTTCTTCAAATTGGCAAAGTTTATCCACCAAAAAAAAAAGATTTTCCTTCATAGTTCTCCTATAATGAACACAAGCAATTAATTCACGTACTCGATGAAAATTATTCTTCACTTTCTTTTAATTTCAACCACATGATCTATTATATATAATTTAATGGTGTGGAATAAAATACCACATCTATCACAGATTAAGTGTACCACTTGGAGATCCATTGACTGATAGTAAGACACTTTTATCAATACATCTACAAAAATTAATGCTTAGAAGAAAAAAAAAATAAACCAGACGGTTACCCTTATTGAAACAAAACTCAATGTCGTGGTCATAAGGGGCAATATTATCCACTCCCTCGTTTGGCCCAGCTGAAAGTGTCTTCAATGTACAAAGTGTTTCTCATTGTAAGAGAAATCAAGAATGTGGCCTATAGCGAAATCAACTTTTTGTATAAGGATTTTACATCAAACACCTACTTTTGTTGCC